CTAAGCTCAAAACAACCGCGCCTGGCTTGACGGAGAAACCAGGAGAACAGCTGTGCATATTTACGACAGTGCACTTTTACTTTCGCCCTCTGGGGGGAGCCTCGCTGGAAAATCAACACCGGTTGCATAGTGTACCTTTAAATATTTATTTAACCAACAGAATTGTTTTAAAGAAAAATAACTTAAGAGACCTGAGTTATGTTATTAAATACTGACAAAGAATAAACTAAAGTGACCAGAAAAGTGACCAAAATAAATATAACAAATACATAAATAGAATACCCTATTTGGGTGGGAATAGTACACCAGCTTGTGGTAATTAAAAGATTGTAGGACTAGGCTACCATGTAAACAAAGTCCACACAACAAGAACAAAAACCCAAACAAAAATCAACTCACCCTTTAGCCTAGCATTTCTATGGGGCATTTGTTCTCACCCCTATTATTCTAGAGGTGCTGCTGGCACCTCGTTATGGTTCCTGCTTTAACCTGAGTTATTACTTTGAAGTTGCTGGCCTCTCAGCATTCTTCTCTCAATTGTTAGAACTACGTGGGAAAACGCCCAGAACTGAAATATATATATATATATATATATATATATATATATATATATATATATATATATATATATATATATTTATTTTTTTTTTTTCCCGAAATTCCTGAAGATTCCTCGGAGGAGAGCTGCACCGGGGCCTACACGGCTTGTACTCCTGCGGGTGCGAGTGGCTGAGATGATTAAAAAAAAAAAGTTGGTTGTGTTATCAGACTTCGTTTTCACTGGTTCCCTACACATTTTAGAGATGAATGTGGTTTGTTTTTTGTCCGACTTGCCATGACCGAAATACTGCCAAACTGGCGAACTACAAAAACCCTTCTTTGGAACAATTTCCTCCGCCTCTCCTTGCTGCGACATCTTCATGTGCTCTGTGTTGTGGTTTGAGAGGGTGGCGCTTTGTGACGGCGTGCCTGGGTCTGCCATTGCGATTGGTTAGGAGGAAGTAGTGACTAGCATAAACCTACATGCTAGGCTACAATGAGAAGGAAGGGAAACAGCGTTTCTTTTTTATCGAACTTTTATCGACCCTCTTTTTTTCTATTGCGCCACACATCTATCGATCGATATATATCGTTATTGAATTATCGCCCAGCCCTATTGTATGTCATAAGATTTCACTGTGAAAAACTAAAGTGAACGTTGTAATGCTTCTAGACACAGACAGTCTAACACTATACAGGGCCCTAAACCAAATTTGATGACATTATTACACAAATGTGTTAAATTCTTGTCATGTTTTGGCTCAGTAGAATCCATAGAGAATGAGGCTGTGAATTTGTATTTTTTTTAAAGTATGCAGTTGCGTTGTCCATGAAGTGTGATTCCATTTGAAATACAAGCAGAATAAAATAGAAATTCTATCTTCCTCAGCATGATTACCATGTTAAAAGTGTTGTGATTGTTAACGAAACAAAGGAAAAACCCTTTTAACTTGACTATTTAGTACAAGTAGAGAAAGTCTACAATGATGGAAAGTTATTTAATGTAAATAAAGGTTGTCAAATTTGGTCAATCTGTGTTTTTGCACTCTGCATAGCTTTAGTCACAAACTACCTCAGACAATACAGTTAGCATATACGAATTATATTAAATAATATGTTTTAGTTATTTCACAGAACAAAAACAAGTATTCATTGCTCATCCAATGCCCTTTGATTAATTAATATAATTTGATAGTGGGAGTAATTCCAATGAATCCTTTCCTGAGGGCCTTTTACGATTTCAGTTTGAAAAAAGTTGGCTCAGAAACTGAAAGCTCTGAGGCAGAATAATTATTAAATGCTCATTAGACATAAACATTTAGTTATGAATAATGCATTGGCCCGTTGGCAGGTCCTGACCCTTAAAGGCGCATTAAATAGCAGGTAATTCTTTATTTTCATACATTTTGCCACATGGAGCATGCCAAAGTTAATGTTTTTATAACGTAATCAAAATGAGTCTTTTTGTGCCTCCAGTCTGTTGTGGAATGTAAAATATTATTTTCTGGTATAAAGCACAAGACATATAGAATAACTGCAGGAGCACATTGGTTTAGCATATTCAATTATAAAACAAAAATTGTTGTGTTTATCAAGGTTTATGTAAGAGTAAGGCACATTCCAAAAAACAAACAAACCTTACATCACAATTGTAAATATAAGTTTGCACCCTTAATATCTTTTTCATATAGAAAGTACCAGAGGTGTAGCCAGAACATTTTTGGCCAGGCAATAACCAATGTATTCTGAAGGGTGGCCGAAAGCGGATCGGCACCATAAACTAAGGGTCAATCTATTCTGATCCAACAGGAAAATGAACAACAACAACAACATCCATATTTTCCAAATAAAGACAAACTATACTTTCCTAAAGCCTTTGCTAACAAATAGACGCATATACAGTATTTAAACATCCATCTACATAAAAGGTATAGTGGATAAGTTCTTTCAGGTTTGAGTTCTGGGCCGAACATCTTTTCCATTGTCATTACTTACCTACTTTTATCCATAATCATTCTGCATAAAATTGATATTTACAATTACTAATATCTACAAAAACTGTTTATTTACTAAGTTTTTATTAGCTTTTTATCTATTATTTAACTGAAGACCGACTTGCATTTTCTCTTTACCTCATATAACACAAAATCTAGTTCTGAAAAGTGCATGAATGTTGTACTTATCATCTTTAATGTCAGTATATTGATGTGTATAAATAACCACAATGTTTTTGTTGTCAAGTAATTGTTAATCTATGAAAAAATGAAAATGTTTTGAATATTGAGAGTATTACTGTAGTACAAGGGCGTAGGTTTGATTTGAACTTTGGTAGGGACACTATTGGTCTGGTGTCATTGGTGCTATGCAATATGCATGCCCTTTTTTATGCTGGATGTGAGCATCTGTACTGATAAGAGGAATTCATTGTTAAAAGAGAAAAGCAACATTTTGCTCCATTAATAAAAATGTTATAAGCACTACACTCATTAGATGCTGTTTATCAATGTTTGAAGTATCACCGGCTCTGATGAATGTGGAATTAGGACTGTTTTCCACTTTGAAAACGGTTTCATTTGAACCACTAAGAGAGAAGGTAAATACAGTATTTTCTTTTGAAGATATAGAATTATGCAGAGGTAAACCCCACTCTAATATTTGTACCTACTTTTCTCTCTCTGTATCAAGCAAAATAATACATTCATTAAAATATTAACTTCACTATAAAAGTTGAACATCTGGACTGTAGTTACTCTGTGTAGCCCATTTCATGTATTTTATCTGGGGCTGAAAAAAAAAGAATCATATTAATTGATTATTTCAATAATCGTCAACTAATTTAGTAAGTGATTCATCATTAACTGGAGTATAGAGACTTTAAAACATACAGTAATATAAATGTAAAATGTGCCTTTCCCCACAGAGCAACCCACTTAGATCAGTTATTATATCAAAATTGTAAAAATAAAAACAAAAAAATGAAAACAGTAATATCAACTTAATATCGGTAAAAAGGAAACCCTCACATTTTCTTTTTAAGTTGGCTGTGTATGGGAGAATTATCCTGCCATGGCTTACAGCCTTAATTTGCCCATTTTTCCAGCAGTCTTCAGAACTCCTGGCTGACTCAGAATATTTCGTTTTATAAAAGAAAAAAAAAAAGATTTTTGTTTTTTAGTGTACATGATATTCATTTTTTTTTTATTGGGACTAGTTTTGTAGCCTAATATTAATTGTAGTAACCGCTGCATTCTAGTGTGAATACATTTTCAATGTTGTGCTCCAAGCACACACGGACTAGAAAACAGCCAATCAGAGAGAGAGAAGGCGGAACTTAAGGCAGAACAACCAATGAGAGTGGCGTTAAACAGCGCAGCACAGTTCAATGCGCTGCTACATGAAAGGGACAGGAGAGACCAGGCAGAGGAGCTGCGAGAGGAACAGAAGCCACTGCTGCAACAACTACTGCTGTAAATTATAAACATGTTCATCACATCCAATTATTGGTAGGGACAATTAGGTCGGTTCAAAACTTTGGTAGGGACATGTCCCTATGGTCCCTATGCAAACCTACGCCCATGCTGTAGTATCACTTCAGAAGAAGAATTCAGAATCAGAATTGGGATGGGGATTAAATAGTAGGGGTGGCCACAGGGGTGGCCAATGATTGGTTAAGGGTGGCCATGGCCACCCCTGGCCCCCCATTCAGCTCCGCCCGCGCAAGAGAGCGTGTGGCCATGAACGCGCACGCGATAAAACCAGTGCGCCAAGCTGCGGGCTACAGTGATCTCCTGCAGAGGGATATCTGGGAGTGGGAGAGGAAAGAGGCAGCAGTGAGGAAGAGGATTCAGTCGCGGAATTAAGGGACTCTTCTGAAGGGGCATCGCTTCTGAGGTCCGCTGCCTCCTCTGGAACAAACATCATTCCGCATTTCCGTTGGGTGAGTTCATCACCAGCATCCTTTATTTGCGTCTCAGGAATAGAGACCAATTACAACCAAATATTGGGACCAAGATTTTCCATCAAGATATCAATTCCTGGATAACAATATATCCATCAATTTTATGTTAACATTTTTGTATAACTAGATAACATTTTCACTTTGAATATCAGACATATAGATTTTATTTCCTATATCATAAAAGGCTTCTATGTTACTCAGAATAATATTTATCAAAAGGCGCTGAACTTCTCCTGCGCACAGCCAGTTGGACTCCACGGCAGATGTGGAGACAAAAGGAGTAACCGAGTGAAAAACAGAGACAAAGAACGTTAGAAAATAGTTTTGCTTCAGCAGCTGTGGCAGCTACCCTCCACAGTTCCATTTTTGTTTTATAAGAAAATATTTCAAAAAATTATAGTTGTTGTAACGTGACAAGCAATTTGCTTCATTGAGTAGATATGCAGAACCTAATATTTGGATATATCTATATTTTTTATATTTGTTTTGATTCAGCATCTGATTCAGATGAAATCTTCCCCTCCTTGAGAATGGATCACGCTTTCCTGACCCGGTCAATTTCCAGTGACGCTAAATTCCTGCAGCATCCAACAGATATGAACACCGGCGTCGTTGTGACGCGCTGCATCCCTGCTGGGACGTGCTTTGGACCGTGCCTGCTTCAAAACACTTTCTACGAAACCATCGCCTTTATAGCTCAGAAATGCAGCGACAAGACAGCAAAGTCATTCATGTTCAGGGTGAGTCAAAAGCGCAGGCGGCGGGGTCATGTGGACTTTACGCGTATTTATAACAGCACTATAGAGTGAATCTTAAAATATACATTTGGCACTAAAAAATATTGTTGTTTTAGGTCGATCCAGAGGCAATGCGAAATTCAACCCTGGTCCTCTCCTGGCTGAGGCTGGTGCAGGCTGCGCGCAACGGAGAGGAGCAGAACGCAGAGGCCTTTCTGAAAGCGGGTCAGGTGTATGTGCGGGCTACGCGGGACATCCAGCCTGAAGAGGAGTTGTTGGTGTGGTATGACCGAGAGCTGTCTCACCTGCTGGGATTTACAGACATGATAAAAGGACTCAACGGAGGTGAGAGAAAGATTATTTTTTTATTTTCATTTTTACAAGTGCTAAATAGACTTTAATACAATGTAGGTTATAGAACAACCCCTCAGATAGATGCTTAAAAGCAACTTGCCTATGTTATCATCCTTCCATTAATGTCAACATTTTATTGCTTTCTTATGGAATAAACAGAATTAACATCTTCCATGAAGGAGAAGTTGAACATTTTATGTGACCCTGAGATGTTAGGCTTATGTATTTATATATTTACTTATATACTTATATATATATACTTATATATTTGTTGCTTGGGGCAATTTTTTTTTATTAAATAGTGGGATTGTAATTCAGAGACTGTGCTGTGAACCTCAGTATTCATTTTTTTTCACCATTCAAAAGCCATCATATTTTATGTGTTGGTGTTGTAAAAAAATGCATGAGCCAAATGTCCCTAAATCATCTTTCCAGTGTAATAGATGTCACATATTTTTTCAATGGGTTCACTGGTTCTTTGTTATATTCTTGAAGGAACTTCAGAGCAGTAACTGTTTAGCTTTTTTATTTGGTGTTGAACTATAACTTACTCATTTGTTGTAGTGTAAAGAGCATGATTTTGTCTAAGCCTACTGTAGTAGATAACTAAAAACCTAAAAAAAAGGGTCAAAGTGCTAGTGGGTTTAATAAAGTGGGAGAGTAATGCATCTGAAAGTGCCTAAAGATGTTGAGATGGGTCATTCATTACCTGAAAGGTCAAAAGGAAACCAATTATTAGAAGTCTGGAAACTCGAGCTGCTTGGTTTGAACTCAGATTACTGTATTCTGTGAATCATTGAAATCATTGGTGACTATCTTTTACTTTAATTTAGACCCCTGAGCAAAGCCTGTGTGTACTGAAGCAAAAAGTTTTCAAGATGAGTTTTGAGAGTCCAGAGGAAGGAACTAAACTACAGACAGGATGGAGATGTTCCATCATTATTAGTAGTAACTTCTACATATCTTATAGTTGAAATATAACTGTACATTGTAACCTATGCGTTACAAGTTACATTTTTGCTTAAAGATTAAATAAAATGTTAATCTGAAATTACTTTGTTATGTATAATTTGTCTTTTTGCCTAGAATTTAAATGCGGGAGATGCAACCAGATCTTCAAAAACCAGAATCCTTTCGTGGCTCACTGCAGATTTCTGTGCAGCCAATTGAAGAGTGACATCTGGAGCCACGACGCCGATGAGCACAAGTACGTGGACACCAAGAGGCCTCACCAGGTGACGGATTTCCACAACATCGCCAGAGACCTGGAGCAGAAAAAGGCCGAGGAGGTGGAGATTCCTTCCAAAAAGAGAAAAGGGGAAAACACCACAGTCGCCAGATTGCGAAAAACGGTTCTGTTAGAGAAAACAAACATTTCGAATGACGAAAATGTCGCTCAGCTGAGCAAAAACTGCCACCAGGCTGCAGGTGACCTGTCCTCTGCTTCCGAGAAACTGAAAGCTGACAGGGTCAAAGCAGTTCGTGCGCCACGGGGGAGGGCTGATTCAGCTGAGGCTGAGGAAGACAGGGCAGACATTATGCCAAAAAAAAGGGTCGACACATGTTCGGAGGCAGGGGAGGGATCTGGTGTGCTTTCAAGCGGCTTGAGCGCGTTTTCCCTTGTTCTTTCGGGCAGCCATGGGGAGCAGAAAAGCGCTTTTTGCAAACCCAGTAAAAGGAGCGCTCCAGTGGAGCAGCAGGTCCATCTGAGCAGCGCTCCTACAGCCCCCTCTAGCCGCCTGGATGAGATCACTGATGCTTTCACCAACAGGACTATTCTGGGATACAACAATATGATGGCATCCAGCATCCTGGCCGACGACCTGCAGACTCTGGCATCTCCTATTCCATTAGGCAACGCTTTCCATTACGCGCCGGAGCTCTGGTCCAGAAACCTTGGCGCACAGCTGCAAACCACATCCACCCTCACAGTTCTGCCGCCAACTTTCACCTCTTCATTCGGTGTGTCGGTGCAGAACTGGTGCGCCAAATGCAACCTGTCCTTCCGCATGACCTCGGATCTGGTGTTCCACATGCGCTCTCACCACAAAAAGGAGTTCGCGGCAGAGTCTCAGGTGAGGCGGAGGAGGGAGGAGAAACTGACCTGCCCGATTTGTCACGAATACTTCAGAGAGAGACACCACTTGTCAAGACACATGACTTCTCACAATTAGAGAAATGTTTTTATTTAAACTGGAAGACTTTCTTGTTTATAGTGAATGTAGGCAATTGAACACTCGCCCCATCATAATGTGTCCAGTAGATGGCAGCAGAGGGGCGCGTCTATCTTGCTTTGTGTTCTAAGAAGAGTTTAATTGATTACTTTGTGCCTTATTGGATTCAGGAGGCTTTCTGATCCTCAGAAATGCTGATGATTGTTACATATGTCTCATCGCAGTTTGTATTTATTTATCAGCTTTTTCTTTTATGGGTTGGTGGGATTGTACATGAGCTGTTGTCTGAATTATTTAGAAATCTAATGTTATAAAATATTGCCACAAAAAAGAGTGAGTGAATATATTCATATTTCATAATTGACCGAGACCCAGCTTCACATAGTTTTGTCTGTTTATATATTGTTAGGAGAAATGGTTCTGAAAGTTTTGGCAAAAGTACCTCCTCAATGCTGGGCTGATACATAAAACCAAAAAACATATATATTTTTAGAATAAGTGGTGAGAACAAGAACGAAAGCTTCTGGCCTTGAAGTGTCATACTTTATAAAAACTTAAGTGTGGAACTTTAAAGAAATCTTTGCATCATCAGTGTATTGCAAGCATTTTCACTTTAATTTTCAAACCAATCAAAGCAGGACATAAGACAAAAAGGCTTTGCCCAGATTACCTGTAAAGAAGAAGCTACAAGAACACCTATAAACTAGTACTTTAAGAAGAGAATGGCATCATTTTGGGCTTGCAGCTCTGGGACTCATTTCCATATTCATGTGGCTTTAATAGCCTGCATAGTATTTTAAGTTGCACCATACAGTGAAGCTCATGTATATACAAGTTAATTACGCACTATGTCTGTTAATCCTGACCAAAAAATTTCACGTTAAAACCATTTTTCTTGACTTGGAGAAAATTTTATATGATCTCTCAAAAATAGCACAGCAGAACACCGTTTAAATACAATGTGAGCACCAAGATAGAAAGAAAAAAATCACAGCTAAAGGAGCCGCCTCATTACAGAGTTCTGTTTATTAGTGGGAAAGCAACCTGAAGGAGAAAGCATGGTAATGTGAGGTTCTGTTGAGTTTTGAGGAGGACCCAAATGCAGAGGCAGAAGGGTGAAACTGTTTCTTATAAATTTAATGAATAGGTAGATGGTACAGGAGCATTCATCCAGAAATTACAGGCAAAAAACACACGAATCAAAACTAGGAAATGAACATAAGAATGAAGAGAATCCAGCAATGAGGAACTACATAGGAGGTGTATATATATATATACTGTATATATAGAAAGAGAGAGAGAGAGAGAGAGATAGAACAATGAAGGGGCTAATCAGCTGATAAGGAGCAGGTGTGGACAGAATCAACTAAAACGAGCAAAGGGGAAACGAAAGGCACACTAGGGGGCAACAAAGTGAGGAAAAACAACCTGATCTATAACTAGAAAAAAACTTACATGAAGCAAAAGGGAAATAAAACTATTGACTACACCTAAAACTAGACCAAGGAATAAATTGGACAAAAAATGCTGAATAGAGATAACTGAAGGAAATAACAAGGGAGAGTAAAACTAAGAATTAAAAGAACGATCTAAATCGTGAGAAACAAAGAATAACATAAAATAAAGGATAACTGATAAGTCCAAAGGAAAACTTAATAGGACCACAAAATAGGACCAAAAAGTACAGAAAGGGCAGAATCATCACAGGTAAATAAGAGGTGCAGATTTTATTTAAAATGCTGGGTGTGATCAGCAATTTCAACTTAACTAACTCAACTTTTTGATTTTCTCCGGGCTGGTGTTTAGAAGAAGATGACATCAGAACACACAATGGGACAGGATGAAGGCCACTATTAAGGAAAACTGCTTTCTCAACAGCTGTGAGGCTGGAACTATAGGATTTGTCTAAAAAAAGTGCTTTATTTGCCTTAACTTGAAGTTTTCTAATATCATTCTGGGAGAACAAACAAAACAGTCCATCTGAAGTCAGAATAACAAAAAGGAAGGTATTAGTTTTCTTAGCATGATTTAAAAATCCAGCATGACTGCCTTTTATGTAATATAGCCGTTGTTACAAAAAACTAGACCAAGCAACCCCTCCACATTTCTAATTTATTTCAACTTTGATGATTAACTCATTCGGTTAAGCACACTTTGAAAGCACAAAAATACTAGAAAAACAACAACAAACAATAGTGAGATAGAAAATCCCTCCCTCTGGTTTTCAAACCTGGAATTGTAACATTTAGGCTGAGTTTAACCTTGTTGCTCATTCATTAGTCTAAAAAAAAAAAAAAAAAAAAAAAAATGTATTAAAACTTTGTTCCGTAAAAGTTCAAAAAATATCGACTGGACTTGGTTTCCAAGATTTGAAGACGTTTTGCCACCTCTCCAGGAAGCTTTCTCAATTCAAATGTCAGACATTTGAAGTCCAGTGGATATTTTTTGAACTTTTACGGACTGACTATGTCCTGGATGACTGAGAATCTTCATCAGCATTAAAACTTTGTGTAACTTAACATCTGATGATTGTATCACAGTCTAATACTATAAGCATAATTATATGTATTTCACCTCGATTTGTTCAAAAAACGTATATATAATATATAAAAAGCAAATATTGATGATTGCTTTTAAGTTCAGCCAAAAACTGGGTCCCCTTTCCCACTCTAGGTGCACACTAAATTTGGTTATAGGGTATTGAGTCAGTTAGAGTAGCCTTTATAGTAATAATAATTTCTAAATGAATTATTTTTCATTTTGGTTTCGAAAGACAGAATATGTTAATATAAATGATTAGGTTAAAACTCATACTTTTATAATATATAATAAAAAGTCAACTTTTTCCATATATTCAATGCCATTACATATTTCTCCTTCTGTTCTTTCACATACTCTGATATGTTTCAAAAGAATTGGTTTCCAGTTCTTAAGTTATAACATTTTTTAAAAAATATTTCTCTTACTGGATTTATCTATAGATGCAATCGGATAAAATAGGATATGTCAGTCAGTATATCTGTGCTATACAAAGAAATAATCACAACCTGCATACGTCATGTGTTATGTTTCAGTCTAACAGCAGAATTATGTAATTAACAACCAAAGCTTTACTGGTTTGAATTTGTGATTCAAAAATTCACCAGCAATTATATGCAGCTTACTGCCCATTCAGAATCGACTCCAGATTAAGAATCATTAGTAAAACCCTTTTTTATGTGTATGCAATGACAGCAAATAGATACACATACCACCATAGAAAAAAAAGGAACGTTGAAAACAGACCATAAAATAACAAATTCAGAGATAGTCCCTTACAAATTTTCGATTTGGGTTTTACTATCTAAAAGGCATATAAACAATAAGTCAATCTTTAATTTTTAAAACAACAGATTTAAACCAGCAGATGATTTTCTCCTTGCTTATGAAAAGCATATAAAAGAAATACTGACAAGTTTATATTTCATACATTTTCTTTAGACAGGATGTTTTCTTAGAAGTGCAGCCACAGACTCAAATGATTAGACAGATTAACCAGGAGAAAAAGCTGCTTTTGTACTAATAAATAGTTATTCTTTCTCTGAGCTTCATAACCAGACCATTTTATCCAGTAACATTAAATTCTCCATTGCCCAATAATTGCTTTATTGCTCCCTATAATGTAGCCATAATGCTATAGAAAAGCAAATATTATTCTTGGTTCCCCACTCGCCTTGTTGCGCTTTGGTTTCTGAACATATTAGTCCATTTGAATAAGTCCAGGCTGCTGTGGTTTTCTGGGCTGTAACACATACCTCTCCTGTGAGAATGATTGTAGCTGACATGCAGTTCACTTTCTAAAGGAAGAGTGGAGGCAGATACTTTAAAGAGAATCAGTCAGGAAATAAGAGAAAAAAACCCACTGTGGATGTGTCACTGTAGTGAGCCTTAACCCACTTTGAAGCCCTGACATAACACAAACATGATTTATAATAACCTTAATTTCAGCAATTATTGCAGTTCAAATGGCGGCTTTCAAAAAATGGTTGTTTCATAGCTGCAGCCCAGTAATACTGAACATATGTGATATATTTTGATATTTCCTTTAAGATGTGGTAATACAGAGATGCACTGTGTCTTTAGACACTTTTAGTATGGTCTTCTAAACTCCTTGTTTGATATTCCTTGCAGTTTAGCTGAAAATGAGTATTGTTTAGACATTGAAAACAACTAGAGCTACTCTACAATATATGGTGTTTTTTTATGTAATCAATAACAACAATTTTATCAATTAAACTGCATCATAAACAATATGTTCCTAAATAGATCATATAGGGAGAAATAGATATAAAAAATAGGAAAACAAGGCAAACATAGGTTTAATATGAAAACCCCCCACTATAAATAAACAGAAATGATTACAAATTAAAAGCAAGACTCAGGAAAGGCACACTAACAATTCTAAAAGATTTTAGAAAGAAATTATAACAATATAACTGAATTTCATATTAGTAGAAGCACCTGGATTTTTAAAACATAATTTATTGAACTGTAGTACCCTTTGTTATAAGATGCTGATAACATGTTTTAATCACTGCTGTTTTAACAGAGAAAGGTATATTCCACTTTTTTATGCAAAATTTAAAATTTATTTTTGGATGGTAAAAATATGGATGTTTTATATACTATCCTGTCATGCTGAGAGTTTCCTTTTCAGTAAATTTATTATCAGATGTTTCACTATTGAGGACAGATGCACTTTTCTGTGTGAAATTCTTCAATGGTACAATTTGCATGGTAAGAAAACTGCTCTTTCACCTTATTCTTCTCTGGATAAAGAAGAGGGGCAATGGTAAGGAGAGAGGTTGTGATGATCTGCAAGCATCTGCAGGCAGGGGAAGAAAAAACGCACTTGGAAATTCCTTTTTGAATGAGCAGGAAAAAGGAAAGTGCACCATGTTTTTGAAGCTTAAGTGACTGATGTCCTGATGGCTGAAGGCTTGCTTCCTTCACCAACCATGGGTGGGTAGCAGCCCACATCCGTCACATTATTCTCTGGACAGCTGACACCGGAGCCTTTGGTGTGGGGTAATAATAGGTTAAAGGGGACCGCTTCTTCCTGGGATTTTTGTGTACACTTATGTTAAAACAGTTGATAGAGAAATTTTACACATTTCCAAGAATAAAAACTAGTACTGTTAAAAAATATTTTTTAGTGCAGAGCTACTGGATTAAATAAAGTTTTATTCTAATTCATAAAAGGCCAGTTTTTCATAATTTAAGCAATACAAACACAAAAAAATGATAATGTAAAAAAACAATACATCATTTGGATATTGTTACAACAATATTAG